TCTCTGTGGAAACAATGAGGGGAGCAGGCTCCGTTCAATACACAGTTGATCAGTCTCTCTATGAAGCGTACTCACTTTGCCTCAAGCAGGTGGGCTTTTTTAGACACAAGGTGCATTGAGGCAGGATGATACATTTGAATGAATACATGTACAGTCCATGAACATTCAGTATTGTGTAGACACAAACAGGAAGACATTTTCATTATAACAGGCTGAGAGATTTTGTATTCATTTTTTCTTCTTTAAGCCACTAATTTCTTCATTCCTTAGAACGGCAGGTGTGCTACAGTATTGTATGTTTATGCGTGTGTATGGGTGCATTTGTGTGGCTCATTGGTGCAGTTGCGGGGGGGAACTGACCACAGGAGTTGAATGAGGACCTGATAAGCTACATTGCAGGGTTCTTGCCAACATAAATTAAATTCACACACACACACACACACACACACACACACACACACACAAAGATAAAACTACCTTTGAAGTGGGAGTTCAGCTGTATTGCCTGTTTCCCAAGTACAGTGATGGCCATACGGCATGTGTAAACATAAACTCCCTGCACTCGCAGTGCTGCGAACTAAAGTTCCCTAAAAAAAAATGTATTTCCACTGTGATAAGCTTCATGATCCTAAAATCTACAAAAATATTTTGACTTGTTTGTGTTTTTGCCAGAAATATGTGTCATCAGTGAACTTGAAGACCTGAGTGCCTCAGTTGATGTCCAAGATGTTTATACGAAGATCAAATGTAAAGTTGGCAGCTTCAACATCGACCACCACAGATGCAGGTAGAGTACAGCTCACTGTGCACACATACTGGAGGTGAATACAGGATTCTTGTTGTGTGTATGTCACCAAGCACTGTAGGAATGGCTTGGTGACAATACAATGTCTGAATGAAACGCTACTGTGATCAATATGGGAACAGGGCCAGCAGGTCACTTTGCTGCAGCCACACACTCTCTCACAGTCTGAAGCTAAACACACTTCACCACCAATACCACTAAAACTGTGTCTGTTCCCACTTCTGCTCACATGGGTGCTTTTTCGGATTATCACCTCAGCGTCATCATCTTTGCAGTGGTGAGCACAGACTCACAGACAGAGGACCCACAGACAGGACTGACGCCTTAAATGGGTTCTGAGCTGGCCGGACTCTGGCTCACAAAGCAGAGATTCAGCCCGTACATCAGTCATCTTTCTCTGTCTGCCTGAATCGATTGGCAGAAACACGGGTGGGGGGGGGAAACCACCGGGCGAGGATCCACTACATCCTTTTGGTGATCTCTCCTCATGACCAGTTCCTGTCACAATGGAGTAGTTTAGCTCTGGGCTTTAAAGAATTCTGAATGCATATACTGTAGCATACATGTATGTATGTGAGACTAAGCTGTAACTACAGATTATTTTGTATGCATTTCCACGCCCACAACACATGTCCTTACCATCAGTTAAAGGGTGGCCTCATTTCAATATCTAAATCCTCATTTCCTGTATTTCTTCCGCTTTGCCATGATCACATACCTCTGGGATGGAGTCAGCCGCTCGGGCTGTGCTCTGTGTACGTGCCTGAGGTCTTGTTCTGTTGGGAAGGGACCACTTAGCAAGAGGCAATTCCCTCTGTCTCTGTGTGAGGAGATAATGCAACAGCGATCTATAACACTCCGGCATTTTGCATCCAGCAGATTGAGTGTGTTCAGGTCTGTGTGCCTACGTGCCTGAATATAATTGTTCCTATAATCTTCTCTGATCGAGCCAGGCAGTGAAGGGGACATGGCCCTTCTTTGGCCCTGTGCTGGATTCAACCCCATCATTAGCAATCAATGCTCTCACCACTGATGTGATAATAGATATGGATTGTGATTTGCCAGAAAACAAACACCTTAGCCGTGTACTAGTAGTACAGGTCAGAGAGGGAGGGGGGCGATGGTCTTGCCTTATATCCGACTGTTTTGCAGAACCCCCTGTTTCGCTGAAGGCAGTTGATTTATTTTCCGGCGCATCAACCTCAGCCAGGACAGAGTCAGTGGTTTGACGGTTTTAGAGCGTAAAGGTGTCGTGTCTCATTATATCATACTGCTCTGTTCTCCACAGGTGTGTGTCCAATTGTTTCTGAGATAGAGCCAACCTAATCTCTTTAGTAGACCTCTTTGCCTTCCTAAGTAGATAATGGGTCAATTTAGTTATTTCTAGGTTGTTTCAGTTTAATGTGCTTTTAACAACATGGTCTCAACACACTTTTACCGACCAAAGTTCTGGCAGACAGGAGCAATCCATTATCCAAGCCAGGTTATAGTCATGGCTGTTTAGGACACAGTGGAGGGCGTCTGGGCTCCTGGCCCGCTCTAATCTGTATCATCCACATACACAAGAGAGCCCACAGAGGTTGGAGTCCATATGAATCATTCTGAGCAGATAATTGTGAGGTATTTCATCACCCTGCCCAGGTTATTTGTGTGTAGTGGATCAGATTAAATCAAGTTTGAAAGAGAAAATGTCTCATCTGGCCTTCAACTGCTGGAAGATGAATGGAAATGTAGATATCGCAGGCAAATGTGTGAGGTGAATATATAATTGAATACCTGGTTGTAGGAAGGGTGGAGGCGGGAAGGAAAATGACAGAAAAGGAGTCCCACAGCAAAGTATAATAGTGTTCAACCTCATAGGTGTGTGGCTAACTAATCATGGCGCAGGTGAATAAAAAGGAAACACATAAGTAATGATGTGATTGGGGGGTGTCCCATCGCGTGGGAAGGGTATCAATTAGAGGCCACATCTTCTCTTTATTTTAGCCTTGTCTCCCTGAGCAACAATGTCTTTGAGGTGCACTGAAACTCATAGACCCCCCCAGGAGAGGAGTTCCGCTGACAGCTCACTCTCTGTCAGCTCACACAGACTGGAGCTGATGTCCTCCAGCTGTTCTGCAAATGGAGCAAAGGATGAGTGGAAGGGGGTAGAGAGAGGGAGAGAGAAAAGGGCGGGATGAAGGGAGAAACGAAGAGCTTCGGGAGTCCATATGGCACTCTTACATTTGAGAGGGAGATTACAGAAGGATATCACCTAGGGACACGTAGAAAGAATTGCCATTCACACAAGATAACTCGAAGAACAGGGTTCTCCAAACTACGGCCCGGGGGCCAACTGCAGCGAATGGTCCGTTTGAAATTGGCCTGCAGCACATTTTCTAAAAGGATAATGGAATATGGCCCACACATGAAACTTGTGCTTGTCTTTTATTGTACTTCTTAAAAATAACGTATTTGTATAACAAGCTTGTAATATACCCTGCCTATTTCGCCTTATCCCCCCCCCCCCCCCCCCCCCCAACCTCTTTAACCATGTTCAATTATCAAGCAGAATTGACCTGCATCTGATTGATTTTGCTCACTTAATTTCTGTAAGTGGCCCTCAGTGGGAAATGTTTGGACACCCCTGTCTTAGAAGTGCCGCTATCTCAAGGAACCCCCAGGATTCTGGTGAGGGGCAATGAAGAAGGAGGGGGGGCAATCTAAGAAAAGCTTAAAAGATATGATGCAGATAGCGTTGATCCATGTCCATTGGGTGATACATTTAGCCATAGATGTGCTGTTAGTGTTTGGCATCCTGGAGTAACTGTGATAATGCTCTCGTGTGTGTGTGTGTGTGTGTGTGTGTACAGATTTAGTGTTTATGTTGTGCTGCAAATGATTGTGGAGGTCTTCATGTTAACTTCTTGTGATGTCTGCTTTACAGGAGCTTCCTGCCTCTTACAGATGACCACTACATAACAATAATAATACATTTTATTTGAAGAGCGCTTTTTAGGGTACTCAAAGACACTTTAAAGGGTCAAATTCATAAAAACATCATGTGTAAAATATATCAAAAACAACATTAATTATGCTTCAAATGTATTTTATAAACATCTTAAAGTGCTGTCTAAAATTCAATAGGAGTGACTTTCAATGCATCATTTACCTGCATTGAAGTCCTAATGTATTAACTTTGGTTAAATAGTTTGTATTTCTACATAGGCTGTGGCTCACTTATCTCAATGCAATGTAATAACTACTGTTTCTATTAAAGCAATATAAACAGTCATGGCCACAACAGTACAGCGTGAGTAATCCCAGATGCCCAGTTTAAGCTTGGATTGTATGTGTCTCCAGGCCAGGGCAGGGCTTGCACTCTGGCTCCTATGAAGGACTCATTCTGCAGTGCAAGGAGACAGCAGTGGTGAGGTCCTTATCAGAGCCCCTGCACACTGAGCCTCTGCTCCGCTCCATCCGGACCCCTCATTTCTACTCAGGCTGGACAGACAGGACAACAAGTCCAAATCAAAAACAACACAGGGTGTCCGCTTATATAATAATTTCATATACTATTTAATTTTGACAAACAGGATACAATTATAAAAATATGATATTTACATTAATTGAATAATGATCCCCTGTCTGTCCAGTGGCTGCTATTGGCTGACAACCGTGTGTGTGTGTGTGTGTTTGGAGTAGACTAGGACTTTTTTGACTCCATTTTCTTGTTGCTGAAATCTTTTTCTGGTTATGGTCTTATACTTGTACATAGCAAATACAAATTTAGAGCAGAGCTAACATTACCTGAATAGTATAATTAAACAATAAAGAAGGGATTGTAGATCAAACTTAAACATTTATAAACTTTTTGTTTTGTACAGGAGATGGATTTTGAAGTGGCTTTAAATCTTAAATATTCATTCTGCTCATCCTAAAGTTAAACAGTTGCCAATTCACTTAATACTGCATAGTATAAGACCATTCCATAATGGCAGCTGGTTCAAGCTGGTCCAACTTCCTTTGGTTTAATCAGGGAGTATATTTAATTTTTCACAATGATTTTGAGGTTTCATGCATTTCTTTCTTTCTTTGTCTTTTTCTCCCTACTCTTCTCTTTCTGTATACATGCTTTTATCTTCCCCCTCCCTGTGACTTCTTGCCTTCTCTGTCTCTTTCCGCATCCACCTTCTCTCCTTCCCTCTCCTCACCTTCAGTAGGGAGGAGGGAGTTCAGAGCTCGTGCGGCAGTGGAGGAGTGCTCCTCTCTTGCACTGACAAGCTGAACAGACGCACTGTGTTGGTTCGACCCGTCAGCAAGCAAGAATCTTTCAGCCACTTCTCTGGCTTTTTCCCTCCTGTAAGAATGTAGCCCTTCTCCTTTTTAGTTGACTCTGCTTAAACTCCATTAACAGTGGCTAAAATAATTCTGTGTGCTTCTCAGAGAGGTTTCGGAAGCCAGTTATTTAACTTGGTTTAAACAATTAGGATTTTGCTGTGGAATGTTTTAATTATATTATTGGTAAAAACACAAATTCAACAGTCATACATACATACTGCTGCAAAGGACACAACCTAAACGGGTTATAACTATATCTCACACTTCTAAATTTGAATAGAGCATTCCAAAAGGGTGCAGATTTTATGATAATTTCCAGTTGATAAATGACTTTACCAACAGTTAACTGTTACCGGATGTTTTTGCAGACTTTCTTTTAATCATGCAACAGTTGGAGATGATTTGCTTTTACTGAATGGGTAGTTAAGTGATTATCCCCCTCTTATTGCTTCTCAAATCAAACATAAGATTGGTAATCTTGCTAATCAGATCAATCTGAAGTAATTCAGCCGCAGGTTTCACTATATATATATATATACATATATACATTGCTTTTCATAGAGTTGGCTGATTTCAGGATCCAATCTTAATAGCAGAATATAAATAGATTTGCTCTTGAACGCTTTTTTTGTTGTTGAGGTTAAGTGTTTTCCTTTAAAAAGAGCACTGTTTAAAGTAAATGCCATGAGGCCCAATTTTTGGAATAAAGATTATAAATCAGCCATTATTAACCAAAATAAGTTTTGATCCAACAGTGTGAGTGAAGCTATTTTTTAGAGGATTTACCCCTATCAAATAAATCAGCTGAGAAAGAACAGCATAGTGTTTGTGTCTGCTACCTCTCTGTGTAATGACGACTATCATCAGTGCTATTTGTCTGTCTGACCGCTGGCCAGACTGCAGCCAAGGTCCTGGAGGTCTCTCACCAGCAGCACGGCTTCCTGTCCATCACCTACACCCAGGCTGTCACCAAAAATGTCCGTCACAAACTCACAACCCGGCCGGAGAGACCCCCACGCAGCGGTGCTACCACCAGCAGTCAGCGGCTGACCTCTGACCCCCTGGCAGACAGCTCCCCCCAGTACCTGAGAGAGATCCTGCTGACGGCTCAGCCCTTCGACGTGGTGCTGTCCTGCCCCTTGCTGGCTACTGTAGCGGGGGTGTTCCAGGTACACACAAATTGTATTGTCAGTTCCTATTACTGTGTGCTATGCAGGCTTGAGCCTTGTCATCCACATATAGGTTTTTTCATTTTTCAAGTGTGCATGAATAAATGAAAATATTTAAATACATTTTGGATAATAATTGCAGTAATTTGGTCAATCTAGTAATATACAGCAAGTTAGTTTAAAGTCTCAGTCAACAATTATATGCAATTTAAAGGTGACTCCTTCATTTATTCATTTGTTTTGTCATTTGAACCAGCCATTAAGACAACAAAACGTACTGATAAGATGTTTTGTATTTCATTATTAAATATATTTGACTGGATGTCTTTTCAGGCTACGGTGCCAAGACGCTACAGAGAGCGTGGAAAGACAGCTGGTCAACCAATGAGAATCCACACTCTGACCTCTCGGAGTTTACCCCTGATGTACATCAACACCAGCGTGATCAGGGTCTTCTGTCCCAGTGCACGAGAAAAACACACAGCATCAGGTTAGAGAGCTACTTTTCTCTTTTCAAAGCACATTTGTGTTTTCAAACGGAAAACAACAGGCTATGATTTAGATTCTGTAAGTCTGTGGTGCGTGTATGAAAGTCTCTGTCATGGCCGCCCAGACAAAGCAAAGACACCACATTAGACAGTTGCAAAGACAAATAGTTGTGGTTCCAAAGAACCAACCACAGTCATATACACTCCTACAAATATAATGTAATGTCATATTGTCATAGATCGATGTTATGTCTGCTGGTAGTAATGACTTATAGTGGTGTGTGTGTGTGTGTGTGTGTGTGTGTGTGTGTGTGTGTGTGTGTGTGTGTGTGTGTGTGTGTGTGTGTGTGTGTGTGTGTGTGTGTGTGTGTGTGTGTGTGTGTGTGTGTGTGTGTGTGTGTGTGTGTGTGTGTGTGTGTGTGTGTGTGTGTGTGTGTGTGTGTGTGTGTGTGTCATCATCATCATGCCCTACTGTATATGTACTTGTGTCTATCGTGTGCATAGTGTGTATTCACCTTTGTTTAAGCTTTGTATTTGCATAAAGGATATTTCTGTGTCTATATCCATATTTACATTATGATTGTATTTGATTGTGTGTTCCATTAGATCCTCAGATGAAAAAAGAAGACACTCTGGTGTTGAAGCTGGGCTCCCTCAGCATGGCCCCCCAGGCGGATAACCCCCTGACCCGCACAGTGCTGCGGAAAGACATCTACCAGTAAGAACAGCTCTCCTCCTCCTACCCACTCTCGGCTCAAATCACACTATATGGTAGACAGAAAAGGAACAAAATCCTGTTTAATACAAAAGCAATTATAGTCCACCATGTGTGGCTTTGATTCAATCAAACTTTTTATTTTATTTTCTACAGTAAGTATAACATTAAAATGTTATGAAATACATAGTATAATCAGTCACACGTTAGTTTTGTTAAGCAAATCAGTACATCTTTTACATGCTGAATAATTTAACCCAAACATAAAAGAACATAGTCTTGATTTAAACCTTTGAAATTATCCTTACGTAACGTCCACGCGGTTCCGTCGCGTGCTTCAACGGAGACGCTTCCCATTCCCCTTGAATGGGGTGACGTCAAGCTTTGCCGAACTGCATTGTGGTTCCGTCGCGTCGCTTTGCCTCCGTTGCTCGCTTCGAAAGTTGAGAAAAGTTCAACTTTTCAAACATCGATGGAAGCGCCAGCCAATCAAATCATATGCCAGTACAAGCGCTAGCCAATCAAACCGTGTGCTTGTGTGTCCGGGGCGGGAGATTAATGTGATTGGTTGTTGGTCGCGTGCCAGACACGCCCACCGGCAAGCTTCAACGCCACGGAACCGTGTGGACGTACCGTTACTCTTTCAGCTCCTACACCTCTTCTGTTGATATACAGTATCACTCTCCATATGGTTGTGAGGCAAGTGTTTTGGTGAATGTGTGTTCAGATGTGCATGGTGCACTTCTGTGTCCTCATGGTGGGAAGTTTTCAGGAGCGAGTGACAGCGCCACATAGTGGTTAAGCTGCCCTAGCAGTGACAGAGCAGTGAGTGACACCTTGGGGGTCTGCTGGGCCCTCCAGCTGAAACACAAGACTGTTGACACAAGCCCCCCGTGCCATATGGATCAAAGCAACTAGGCAGGGAAAATCTGGAGGGAAATAGCTCTGTACAAAACATTTCCCTGCTATAGGCAGCTTAAAGAATCTGGATTGTGTCATAGCTGCCTCAAAACCGCAAACACAGCTTGTGTGTGTGCGAGAGAGAGAGCAGTTGTGTGAATGGGCAGATATGGAGCTGGCAAACACACGTAATGGGGGAGATAAAAGTGGTGCCAAATGCTTTGTACAGCTGCAAGTGAGATGTGAGCTGACACAAGACGTGAAGTGGAGAAAAAAAGAAAAAATAGGTGGCCAAACAAAAGGAGAGGATTAGGCTTCATTTCTGCTGCAGTTGGTGGAAGAGTCACATGTGGGGGGGGGGGGGGGGGGGGGGTGCTGCCTGACATCTAACCATCAAGGCATTCTGTCCTACGTGGTCCACAGTTTTTCCACAGAAGATCTATCTCCTTCACAGTGTCTTGTTTGTTTTCTTTCATGTATCGGAGTAAACTTGTTGTTGATCAGTAACCATAGCAACTGTTCTGAAGGGACTTATGAGGATATGTTTTATATCCACGCGAAAACTACACCATCTAATGTACTAAAATGGTTTGCTACAAGTTATTACGGCTAATGAGTAGTAACTACTCTGTTTCCATGAAAACTGGGCCTATATTTATTTTGTTGACATGTTGGCCATGTTATCATCATGTCAAATGATAAATGACGATCTTGCGGGCATGGAAAATGATCTGGAGTTTTTCTCAGACTTTCAGCCCAAAAAACTGTTAAAACAGCCGTGCAATTGTACCCCATATTGGCTAGTAATGTTGTGCCTGTGGTAGTGAGAGGATTGGTGGCTGTGTGGCTGTGGTGCCCACATCTGCTCCTACACAGAGATCGCTTTGCATGACATCCACCCTGCCTTAGCACAAACATGCTACCATAGGCCCTCCATACGGCCATTCAAAACACAGAGTCTGGTACACATGCACTCGCAAACAATATGGTGTCTTCATTCAGTCATGCATACAAAAACATATTCTAACTATGCACAGCAAAATACACATACATGCTCTGTCGCAAACACTAGCAGCAGGCATGGCTGTGTGTACAAACACACCCATATTCACTTAGCCTCTACACACAGAAGCCAAGAGCCACCACTTCCCTCTCTGCAGTGAAACCCAGGTATTATGTCAAACCACTCTCTGTGTTCATTCTTCCATGTGTAACCGTGCATTATCCTCACCACCTACCCTGTTCACATCTGCCCTCCAATTTAGGACCATCTCACTTCTGACTCACGTGATTGATAACCCTGAGATCAGGACCTTGTTGACATACACTGTTACGTGCTTGATCTGTGCTGAATTATATTGTGTTTGCTCCCCCAAGTCGTATAGAGAAAGTCAAAGTAAAAGTCTGTAATCATGTAAACCAATGTGTGTTTACAATCTATAACCAACTGTGGCTATAGCAAGAAATATGTCCATAAGGGCCGGTAGCCATTTGCTCGGTTCTGTTTAAAGCCCACCACTAATTACATCCGCTGTCATAATTGAATGACTGATCTAAGCAGCAATGGTGTTTTTGTCTACTGTACATGAAATGATTGCCTCACAAGGTCTTAAAGCAGGATTTACTGTAATGACACCCTGTGAGAGAAGACGCTAAAATAGCGAGTACGTGTAAACATCCTGACAGAGCATGTCTTGATACTGGTCCACTAACACTGATTCTGACACACCTGCCTCAGCTTCCTTTACAGCCTCTACATTTTCAGGCTACAGTGTGTATTTTCATTTAGAATTGATAGATTTCCTCAAAGAAGGTAAAATAAACCTGTTTGACTATAAAACTGTAGAGCTAAGTTGACATGCACCGTGTCATTTGGTAACAATTACCACTTTTTCATTTGATGTTGAAACTGTTTCCCTGAAGGAGTAGGTCCCCAGCGGCTTCTTCACTAAGCAGGAATTATGACACAGATAGGCTTCCCCTGTTTCTCCCTCTCCATATTCAGCCACTGCCTCTCAAGGCCACTGTCAATTTACACAGCTGAAATCATTTTCCTGTCTTGAAAAAGTTTTTCCAAGTACTGGGCGCCGGCCTGGATAATGTCCAGCATGCATTCAGCCCTGACTTTCTTGTGGTTGTGCATGTCACAGATCTTTTACTCCATACTCCTATTTTCTCTCATCCTCCCCGTTTCTCTTATTTTTACAATGAGATTTTTTCACTTTTGGAACACTTCATTTAGAGCTTCTTGTATGGGTGAATTGGGACCTCTCTTTCCAGAACCATGTGGAGATTGAGTTTTCTGGTTTAAGGGCATGGAGACACATGTTAGAGTGTCTAGGGTTAAAACATAAGCTTGCAAATATTTGAATTATCAATGTGTGTGTGTGTGTGTGTGTGTGTGTGTGTGTGTGTGTGTGTGTGTGTGTGTGTGTGTGTGTGTGTGTGTGTGTGTGTGTGTGTGTGTGTGTGTGTGTGTGTGTGTGTGTGTGTGTGTGTGTGTGTGTGTGTGTGTGAACTCATAGTCTGTGTGAAGGAGACTCAGAGAGAATCCCGCTGCAGCTTAATATGTTTGAGTTTTGTTTTGATTAGTGCACACTCCTGCGTTTCTACGGTAATGGCAGACATGGCTGCTGCGTCAGTTGTGATGCAGAACCCATTACTACGTTTTATTCTCCCTACTTTCTTTGTGTCTGTCGTTTGTATCCCACTACTCCAGCATATGACACCGAGCTATACCCACATCACCAACTTCTCATTAGGGCCCGAGCACGAGAGCGCTAGGACCCAACGGCGTCCTAGCACGAAGTGCGAGGAACCTATTGTTATCCTAGGATTTTTTTCTTCTTCCTGCGCTTTAAACCTGTTTTTGAAGGCTTTACGACGCTTCAAAAGTTGTATAATTTTGCACGGACGCCAGGACCGGTGAACATTTTTACATTCTGGAGTCAATGGGTTCAAATTGTCCAACATGCTCGCTAGCGCCACCTATATGTAAATAATTTTGGAAAAATGAACATAGTCGCACCGTAAGTCCGTTTGACCTGAGATTTTGCACTACTATCCGGGTGGAGCTGTTCTACATTTGGTCCTCTTGAGCCTCTAAGCTCTGCCTACTTAGATTTTTTTTTTATTAGCATAATGTTCCAAACAGTGAAATATTCACTTAAATTTCAATTTTTAGTTTTTCGACACCAAACTTAGTATACTGCATCGTTGGAGGGTCACACACATTACCCTAGGAAATTAGCATGTTCAGTCAATAAATATGTCCGCCATTAATCAAAACGTATTTGCAAAAAGGCGGGGCTTAGAAATAAATGCTCATAACTCATCAACAATGTATCCAAACATCACAGATTTTGGTGGATAGGTTCAGTCTGTCTTGGGGAATACGCACACCAAAGCATTTTCATTTTGGACTATAGGGGGCGCCAAAAACACCACAAATGTATAACTCAAGAACGCATGAACGAAATAAAAAAAAATGTGTAGACATACTCTGGGGGTGAGTATGAACTGAGATTGAAATGTCGCAACAAATGACTTATGTGGGCGTGGCCTATACATTCTTTTTTAATTGCGATAAATGAGCTTCGGACGCAAAACTTGGGACACACGTCACACCTACACACACAAACCCACACCTACACAATGTACAACACACACATACACTCTACAAAACACACCTACACATTGCATAACAAACACAAACAGCTCCTAAAGCATATCATAAATATCAGGCTACCGCCCTTGTATATTTTATTATGTGAAGCACTATATGGTTTCATGAAAAATATCTACTGTTTATTTGTAGATATCTCCTAAAGCAGGGGTTCCCAACCTTTTTTCCCAAGAGCCCCCCCAAATGACTCCTGTTGGAAGTTGCATCCCCCCCCCCCCACACACACACAACAGTGGTAATTAAAGTTTAAAAGTCTCAAAAATGCTACAACTACTGTCACAAACTGGATGAATGTGAAGTATGTTGTTAAAGGAGGATGAAAGCGTAATCAAGGAGCACTATTGGAGTGACTTTGATGGTTATTGGACTCAGGATTCATTCATTTGGATTCCCGCTGTATGAAGAAATGAAAGGACGG